AACCTCATTTACCTAAAATGTCAGTGTTTTCTTTTAAATCAAAGTCCACATTTCCCATACTGTCAGCACTACTGAATGTTACTTCTTTTCTAACCCCAACAGGCTGAGAAGTGAGAGCCTTTCTGTTAATCTGCATGTCGTACTGGAAAGGCAGAGCCATGTGCATCTGTGAGGCCATCTATACCTCCTCTGCCTACTTTCTCTTGGATCTTTTGGTCTATTTTATATCATTTGTTCACCAGTCTCTGAGTTCCTGCATGCTGCCCGCACAAAAGGCTGCTGTGTCTTTGAGGAGCTTATGGTTTGGGGGCAGGTACACAGTGACTGCATACGTGGTGCCCCATGGCAGAGGGGTTCAAGGGTAGGGTGGCTTCAGTGGTGACATTTGCATAGGGACAATGAGTGGGCACCACACTTGAGCTTGAGGGAGGGACAGGAAGAAGCTGCTGAAGATGGAAGTTTGAAATTTTTGTTGTTGTTGTTAATCCTCACCCTAGCATATGTTTTTATTGATTTTTAGAAAGAAAAAAAACATAAATGTGAGAAATATCAATTGGTTGCCTCCCATATGCGCCCTGACTAAGGATCAAACCCGAAACCTAGGCACTGGCTGGGAATCGCACCTGTTACTTTTTGGTGTATGGGACGACGCTCCAACAAATGGAGCCCCCAGCCAGGGCCGAGGTTTAGGTTTTTAAAAATAAACTTTATTTTAGAACAATCTTAGATTTACAGAATTACTGTGAAGCTGATGCTGATTGCTGAGTCCCCCCATCTTCTGTCAGTGTGGTACCTTGTCACAGCTGATGAGCCAGGACTGAGATGTCATTAATAACTAAAGTCCATGCTTACTCAGATTTCCTCAGTTTCCCCTGATGGCCTCTCTGCCCCAGGACTCCATCAGGATCCCACAGGACCATCAGTTGTCACATCCCTTAGGCCCCTCTAATTGACATGGTTTCCCCTCTTTCCAGTGTGGATGCCCTGGACCGTCGTGTCCTGCAGGACGTCCCCAGTCTGGGTTTTCTGGTGTATTTTTTTTTTCTTCATTGCACTGAAGGGTGTGCCCTGGCTATCTGTCACCTCAGGGTCTCTGCTGTCCCCATGGCTCCCCACTGCTGACCCTGACTCTTATCTCCCTGCCAAGGTGCTGGTCAGGTGTCTCCACTGAGAAGTTCTTTGAGGCCAGAAGTCCGAAATCGAGGTGTCGCAGGGCTGTGCTCCCTCCTAAGGCTGCGGGGGAGGGGTGTCCTTCTGCCTCCCAGCTTCCAGTGGCTGCCAGAGTGTCTTGGCTTGTGGCGCATCTCTGCCTCCATTGTCACGTGCTCTTCCTTTCCTGTGTGTCTCTATCTCCTTTTCAGAAGGACACCAGTCACGGATTAGGACCCACCCTAATTTGTAAATAAGGTCACATGCCCAGATACCCGGGGTTAGGACCTATTTTGTTGGGGACACATCTCAGTTCACATCAAGGACTGATACGGTGCTGGAACCATAGTTACTCTGGGTAGCAGAAGTGCCCAGGCTGGGCCTGGCCTGACCAGGATGAGGGGCGCACAGGTACCGTCAAATGAGATGGGACACCCCTGTCCCCTTGACGGACAGTTAGCTTAGAACCAGGTGTGAATGAGGGCTTGATCACGTCTCTGGGGAGAGGCCAGTGCTGTCAGCACACTCCGAGATGCTGGAATGTGGCACACATGCTCTGTCCGGGCCCATGTGTGCCAGCCCCAGGCAGCACCACCAGTGTCTGTCTTCAAGCTCATATCCCTTGTGCTTCCAAGGCTACACTCACAGCTGGGTCCACTGTGCACTGTGGGGCCAAGCGGCCTGTCAGCGGCCACCCCCCAGCTTCCTTCCTCCCCCAGCCCTCATTTTCCTTTCAGCTTTTTAGGTGGAAATTTTCAGATGTACCAAATGTGGAGAGGGTACAGTACTACCCATCCCACCCCCCAGGCCCCGACCCAGTCCAGGTTACCAGCATTTGCCCAGCAAACTCAGTCCCCTCCCTTTCTCTGCAGCAGGTTCTCTGGAGCCAGTACCTGCAGTCAGTATAGTTCCAGAGCTGCCACACCAAGACTGTTGCTTGACTTTGGTTGCTGTGGTCTGAGTTTGCAGAGTTTGTAGCAGCAACCTTGCCTTTTTGTAATCTTAATTTTGAAAACATTTCAAGTCTGTTGAAAGCATGCAAGAAAAGTACCTGATGCCCTGTGCTCCTTGTGGGCTCACTGCCACCTGTGGCTGTGTTTGCTTTACCTGAACTGTGTGAGAGCATCCTGCCACCTCGTGACCATCCCCTGTGATCTCTGGCCCTCTCCCAAGAACATCGATGTGTCTAGTCCACCTTTCCATGATGGGTGCAGTGATAGCTGTCCCTTCTCACAGGGGGACAGCTCCTTCCTCCATCGGGTCCTAGTCAGGACTTCAGGCAGGAACTCTGCACGCCCTCTGGGGCGGCACTGACTGGTGCTCACACCCCAGATCACTGATCGGACCACCTGCTTGGCACACTCAGTCCTGTGTCCATCTGCTTGCTGATGGCACTTCTCCCAGGTTCAGCTGTCTCTTCTCCCTTTGTCTGTAACTTGATGTTTAAAGACCCATTTCTGCTTAATCCTTTTTGACACTGGCCTTGTCCCCAGGGGCTGCGTGGCTGGTTCCTGTGCAATCATTGTGGGGTACTTCCTTCCTCTCTGCCATGATACGATGTTGCAGGTGCCCTGGGACTTCTCAGCTACAGCCCCAGGGTGGGCAGGTCTCCTGGGTCCCTCGAGTTTTGATGTTTAGATGCCAGGACATGACACACTGGGTGCTCATGGCTCCTGGGGTGCCGTGTTCCTGGGCCCAGGTGAATCCTGGGGAGGAGGCCCTGCCTCTCCATGTCACTGAGTGCAGAGGTAGGTCCCTGATGTGGGGGAACACGGGAACATATGTGTCCGGAGTTGCCGAGAAGGGGCTGTAGCCAGGATCATCTGAGTCTTGGTGCTTCCAGGGCTACACTCACCACAGGGCCCACTGTGCACTGTGGGAAGGAGGCTCCTGTACCTTCCTTAGACTTGCTCTGGCTCTGGTCTGGGGCTGTGCTAGTGATGTCAGCCAGGGACTGTGACATCACTGACTGGAGATGGTCAGAGAAGGGGCCCCTGCAGGGGTCCCAGCCCCTGGCCCTGACAAGATGGAGGACCCCAAAAAGAACAGGGCAGGTAACTCACCTGAGGTGCGCATTGGTGGAGAAGCAGGGCCCTGACGTGGAGCATGAATCTATGAGACCCACTCAGTGTGGACACAGGCAGGACAGCAGCTTCCAGGGACTGCCTGGGGATTGTGTCAGCGTGGAATTGAATGTGGCCATGCGGGTCCAAACGGAGCCCACACCTGTGAAGGGCCTGCCCTCTGTTGGGGAAGCTGGGGGGTGAATTGGGGGCCACTCTGGTGTGGCTGAGGATGAAGGAGGAATGAGAGGTGCCTTCCTCCAGGATAATTGCTTTTAACTCCTGGGCCTGGACTGAGGCTTTAGGTCACCTGCTTTGTCCAGGTGTGTGCTGGGCTGGGCATTCAGCTCTGGTCCTAGCCCTGACTCAGACTCTCTTCCCTCAGGCAGGTGCTTGACTCACTTTGCTATCCCCCTGCAGGTCCCATCTGGCTCAGAGCATCCGGGAGAGGACCCAGAATGCCCCCATGTGGCTGGTGGGTGGGGTGAGCTCTTGTTTGTGGGGTGAGCAGGGGCTGGTGTCCTTGGGGAAGGGTCAGGCCCCTCACCTGCCTTCCTATGCCCATTGTCCCTGCAGGCAGTGTCTGCATATCTGCCCTGTGTAAGAGGGCTGCGTGGGGCCCAGACACACTGCGGTAGGGGTCACTGGGGTAATGTTGTGGGCTCAGGGAGGGCAGCATGACTCTGTAGTCCTGGCTGGCTGCTGTCTCCCCATAGCCGGCTGGGGCCAGGTGGGTTTGGCACATACACAGAGTCTCCATGCTTGTGGGGCTGTGACCCTTCTCCTGTTGGTTGTGCTCAGGTCCAAGGGTCACATGCAGGTTAGGCACCTCCTTGTGCCTGGTTATGCGTGTGGTCCCTCTTGAGAGGACTGCCAAGCATGGGAGGGTGTGGACACGTGTGAGTTATGCACATGTGTGAGCATGGGGAGGGGTGTGCATGCATGTGGGTGTGTAAGCACAGGAGGGAGTGTGCACACGTGTGTGAGAGCACGGGAAGGTGTGTGTGTTCACTGCACTCTGAGTCCCTGCTGTCTTGTAGTCTATGAACATGTGGCTGGGATTCCCCTCTATGAGGTGCCTGCTCCTTCTGGCTCTGAGGCTTGGGCCAGCTGTTCCCAGAACCAAAGCCAAGGGCTGACAGAGGGCTCTGTCCTTGGCCTGGTTCTCAGAGGCCCCCACTTTGTTCTCTTTCATCATCCCCAGGGCCCTGTTCTGGCCTCAGGGTGAGGGAGCCCCAGGTCATGGGTTGAGATCCCCCTGGGGTCCTTGCCCCCAAGGCCTCATGGTGTCACCATGTCCAAGTCACTACTACTCCCATCAGTAGCTGGCCAGATCCTCAGTCAGTGGCGAGGAGGGGGCTCTGCGGTCTCTCCTCTTCCTTCTTCAGAGGAATGACCCCTTCGCTTGGGGGGAGGGGCTGTGGGCAGGGTGGCCCTTGCTCCTTTCTGCATCCAAGTTGGGGCTCCCTGCCTGGTTCTGGGGCCTCTGTCACTTGATTAGAATTCACCCTTCCCAGTGCAATTGTCTTTGAGCTGTGTTGTGGGCCAGCACTCAACAATGAGCATCTTTACTACCTTGATACATGGAATTCACCGTGGCCTCTGCCCCTCAGAAAGTCACAGGTCCCGCTTGTGCCTTCAGAGGTCTTTCCAGAATGCCATCCTGCTGTGCCAGCCCTGTTAGTTAATGCCACCGTGCCAGGCTGTGCTCTGGACCCTGGGCTGTATTATGGGCAGGTGGGTAGGTGGGTCTCAATCTTTTAACCTGTGTCTCTGTTTTCCCCCCAGCTGGGAGCCACAAGATTTGAGGTGGCGGGACCTGTCAGCAGAATGTGTCCTCCCCCTGCGTGCAACTTTGAGGCCACCGAGATGAGTTCCACGGCCTGGCCCTCGCGAGCACCCACATCTCATTAGCCAGGAGTCCGCCAGGTGCCATGGTGTGCTAGCCCCAAAGAGCCGCCCGTGACCTCAGGTCTCCATAGACCCGGGATTTGTACAGCAGCAGAGTCACCGTGGAGAGGCCAGGGTACCACAAACTTATGGATTTTGACAAGAAAGGAGGGAAAGGGGAGTCGGAGGAGGGCCGGAGAATGTCCAAGGCCGGTGGCCGGACCAGCCACAGCGTCCGGAACTCGGGGACCAGTTCGGGGGTCCTGATGGTGGGCCCCAACTTCCGGGTCGGGAAGAAGATAGGCTGTGGCAACTTCGGGGAGCTCCGGCTAGGTGAGCCCCGCTCATTTGCATTCAGGGGATGGGGTGGGGGAAGGCTGCCCAATGAGTTCGCAGTCACTTGCAGATGACCTCCCTGATTATTGCGATCAGGTCACAGGTAAGTGTGTGTGTGTGTTTCTGTTCCCCGAGGAGGAGGTTGGGAAGAGGGGTAGACTCCTGACCTCTCCCCTTTGTGTCTGAGGAACAGCTCTGTTGGGGATCCAAGTCCACATATGGGAGAGCCGACATAGAAGCCTCCAGTGTCTAAGCGGTTGCACTGTTTAGCATTTGTTTGTCAGGAGCTGTGGGCAGCCCCAGGTTTGGGGTTTCTGAGTCCATGTACCATCAGGGGCTGGGGCCCAACTCTGTCTGCTGGTGGGAAGGGCATGCAGGACAGGCACTCGGCTAACTAAGACTGTGGTGGGTGAGGAGAGACAAACACCTTCCCAGAGCACGGGGCCCCACAGGCTCACTCAGCCTGCACAGAGGGACCTGGGCAGCATGGTGGCCAACTCTTCAGCTTCCCCTGACAGAGCTGCCCTGCTGCCCTGGTAGGGTGTACATGTGTGTGCACATACATGTCCCTGGGCCCAGTCTTGATCTGAAGCCTGTGGGGCTGGGGAGGGCTATACAGCTTTGTGGACTCAGACATCATCATGGGTCCTGTTCTTTGGTGTTTGGAGCAGCAGCCTAAACAGTCCAGGTCTGCACAGAAAGATGTGTGGGCATATAAAAGGGTCTGGGGAGGTGTAGCGGCTTTTGGCTTGAAACTTTTTTTTAAATGGAGTATATATTCTTTTCTGCCTGGCTTCTTTTGCTCAGTGCGTTTTTGAGACTATCCATGTTGTCATGTGTGTCTATAGCTAGTCGCTCTTTGTTACTCTGTCCATTTGTATGATTGTTCCCCATTTTGTTCATCCGTTCTCCTGCTCAGGGATATTTGGCTATGCCCAGATTTTGGCTATTATAAATAAAACTGTCCTGAGCATCCTTCTCCAAATCTTGTGTATGAGTGTTTTTGTTAAAAGCACTGGGTCACGGGGGACGTATGTCTTAAGAGAAACTGCCAGACCGATTTCCAGAGTGGTTGTACACTTTATTCTCCTTCAGGTGGCATATGGGAGTCTGGTTATCTCATATCCTCGCCAACAGTTGGGGTTGTCAGGCTTTTTTCCTTGTTAGTGGGTGTGAAGTGCTGTCTCTGGGATTTATTTGCTTTTTCTTGATAACTAATGTTGAGCATTGTTCTCAGATATGTGTCTTTTTCTCTGTTGTGAAGATATTCTTTGGTTTCAAATTTTGATTCTGCATCGTTTAGGTGTGGTTTTCTTTGTATTTATCCTGCTTGGGATTCATTGGGCTTTTTGGATCTGTATATTGACACTTTTTAATTAAATTCGGAAAAACTTAGGCCATTATTTCATCGTGTTTTTGCTGCCTCAGTTTACTGTCTTCTCAGACTCCAATGACATGTATGTTAGGAGTGTTTGATGCTGTCTCATAGTTCCTTAAGTTCTTTTCCATGTTCTTCTGTCTTTTTCTCTCTTTGCTTCAGTCTAGATAGTTTTTATTGCCCTGCTGTAAGTTCACCCTTCTTTTTCTCTGCAGTGTCCAATCTATTGTTGGGGCCATCTAGTGAATATTTTATTTCATTCACAGTATTTTTCACTTCCATTTGACTCCCATCCTGTTCTCTTGAGACTTCCCATCTGCTTGTTTATTTTGCCCATTCTTTCTTTAAATCCTTGAACCTGTAACTGTTATAAATGCCTACGTATGTGGTGCATTTCACTTTGTTTTTCCTTTTTGCAGTCCTATTTTTCTCGTGTCTGGTAATGTTTTACTGTATGTTGGACATTGTGGATGCCACATGTCGCGGACTTTTAAGTCTGGGTTGAGGTTCGTCTTAAGACTTATCTTGACTCCATCAGGGACTGATTTTGGTTTTGTTAGGATGGGCTGAGAGAGCAGACATTACTCAAGGGCTGGAGTTGCCCCTCTTTCCACATGTGGGCTTTCTGGGTTCTTAGCCTAAGGTCGGGGAAGTTCAGGGAGGCCTCTCTGCTCTGGATGACTGCATCTCTAGTATCTTCCCATCTTGTGTGGCCTCTGGAATCTTCTTCCTGTTCATAGCCCCGTAGGAGTTGTTCTCTGCTAGGCCTTGCAGATTCTCTCGCCTTCTGCATGCATAGGTCAAACTGATAACATGAGCATTGGTGAGGCTCTCAGAGCCCAGAGCACCTGAACTCCCCCAGAAGTCTATAAACCCAGACTTCAGATGCCGATGCGTGTGCACAAACACATGTGCGTGCTCACTTTAAGCTCAGGCTGGACTCCAAGGACGTTGGCTCTCCTAGAATTCATATGCAGTCAAAACATGAAGTTTCAACAGGACAGAATAAAATGACCTTTTACCATAAAGGATCGGTTAGACTTCATGAATGTTTAAAATATCTTTCACAAAGCGTTGTGAGCTAGAACAGGCAAACCACCGACTGGGAAGAAATATTTTCAGAGCACCATTTGACAAAGCGCTGATGTTCAGGATACGTGAAAGGACGACAACTTGATAATAAAAGGACAGACATTCCAATTAAAAATGGGCAAGAGATTTGAACAGACACTGCATAAGCAGACAAATGGCCGGGAAGCACAGAAGGCACCCACATTGGCAGTACAAGCCAGCAAACCTACTAGAGGAGTGACTAGCCTGCCCACAGAAAGGCCCATAGGCAACGTTCTCCACAGCTCTGCTTATAACAGAAAATGAAACAACCCACGTGTCCCCATGCTGACCGGATAGGTCCCCTTGATGGGGTAAGGCTTCATTCAGCTGTCACCAGGAACCACGGACATGCCTCAGCACAGGAATTCATCATGCCATGTGAAAGGAACCAGGAGGGGAGAACACACCAGATGATTCTGTCTTGGTGCAGGTGGGGGTGGTCCAAGAAGGGGTGTGAGTGGTGGGGACATTCTGTGCTTTGATAAGGGTAGGGGTTGCCGAGGGACATGCATTGGTCAAAGCTCATCAGATGGCACCCTTCAGATGTGTGCATTTCTTGGTAAATGTCACTTCCCACAGGGTAAACAAGAACTATATGTACACACTAGAGGCCCAATGCACGAAATTCGTGCAAGGGGCTTGGCTCCCCGCTGTGGCGGCTACCTCTGCCTCAGCCCCGCCGCTTCGGCTTCGGCTTCGTCTGGAAGGTCGTCCGGTCTAATTATCATATTATGCTTTTATTATTATAGATAGAACTTGACCTGCAGGCTGGAGTATCTACAAATCAGAGAGATTCATGACTGATAGATATGCAACAGAACAGATAGCAAATTGTTCATTGTGTAATATAGGCAGTGAGGATGTAGCTGTTCACTGAACAGTTCCTTCTGTTTTTCTGTGTTTAAAGCTTCCATAAAAAAATGGTGGGGTCGCCCTTGTCGGTTTGGCTCAGTGGATAGAGCGTCGGTCTGCGGACTGAAGGGTCCCTGGTTCAGTTCCAGTCAGGGGCACATGCCTGGGTTACAGCCTCAGTCCAAGGTGCAGGAGGCAGCCAATCGATGGTTCCCTCTCATCACTGATGTTTCTGTCTCTCCCTTTCCCTTCCTCTCTGAAATCAATAAAAATATATTTTTTTTAAAAATGGTGGGATGAAAACACAGGAGGGACACTTATTTTTTAACAAAACCCAAGAACCAGGACTAAAAGGAGGCTCCCTTTTCCTTCTAATGGGTGTCTGTGAAAAGAAAAACAATGCCAGTAGTAAGAATGCCAAAACTCTTCAAATGTTCCTGGAATAAATCTAACAAAGATTGGGCAAGCTCTCTCAGAGCGACAGAACATCGCTGGGAGTTCATTCCCAGGGGTGGATGGGACAGTTCAGTATGAGATGTTACCTCCTCCGGTTTGGCTGCAGACACCAGGACACCCTTCAGGGCTCTGAGAAAGTCAGTAAGCTGACTCTGAACCACCATGGAAACCAAGGACCTAGAATAGTCACAGCAGAGCAGAAGACACACCCACGGCTGGGTGCCACGGTAGTGTGGACACCTCGGCACACAGAAGGCAGTGACTGTGACCAGTGGAGCAGACTAACACTGTGGGGAACCCTGGCATCAACCTCTGAGGTGGAACACATTGGTGTCTGCCGCCACGTGGGTGGGGCAGGAATAGCTAGAGTGAAGATGGCACCCTGACTGTCCAGCTGCAGCAGGCAGAGTAAGGGGAGGCCTAGAGGTGCGGACACACAGTGTGTGGTGTTCAGGACCCGGTGATGGTAGTCTCAGGACAAAGGACAGGACAACACTGGGAGGGGCCGTTGGACCAGAGATGGTGGTACGGTGTACACAGCACCGTGCGCAGTAACTCTCAAATGCACACAAGGGGCTGGATTGGGGTGGCCCCTTGTTTATGCGGCAGGTCACCCAGCAGTAGTGGCTGGACCATCTGGGACTCTGCTGGCGTTAGAGACTATAACAGGTGAAAAGCAGTTCTGTGAGGTTGGGTGTTAGCTCTTCCTCTGTGGGCACCTGCAGGTCCTGGTGGGTGGGCTCAGTAAGGCCTGCGTCAGGTGATCTTTCTAACCTGAGAGGGGGCAGGTCTTCCACCCTGGCCTGCTGGGCTCTGTTACCTGGGGGAGCCAGCCTGGCTCTTGCCTGCTGGCACCATGGGCAGGCTCTAATCTGACATAGCCAGCCTGGAAGTTGTGGGGGGGGATGTGTGTGCAGGAGGAAGACACAGGGCACCTGGGGTAAGTCCTCTGCATGTCATGACAAACCTCTTGGGGTAGGGTGGGTTCTGGCCAGTGGCCTTGACTCCACCGTCATGGGCGGAGGGGAGGGGAGGAAGGTGCTGGAATGAACCATGGTTGGATGGTTGGATGGTTGGGGGGCAGGGAGGGGAGGCAGAGTGAGGTCCACTGGTAGGAGGGACCCGATGGATGGGCATCGGAGGGACTGGTCCTGACTATTTGCCACCTGTCTACAGGACCCATGTAGAGGCATTGAGGAGACCACCCATGGGGGTCCTGGGGATGGAGTGATGGGGGGGTGGGAGATGCTTAGGGGATATGGATGTCTTTGGTTCCCATTGTTGCAGTGGGTGTTGAGAAGGGCCATGTTCCATTTTTTGATGGGAAAATTGGGGCACATTGGTGTGCTTGTGGGGATAGCTGCTTGAGTGGTGGAGGCGGGGTTAGGGGGAGTGCTTGGGTGAGCTAGATGGGGCTGGTGGGGGCTGGGATCTGGAGTACATAGATGGTGGTGGGCAGAGGCTATAGAGAAGAGAGTAGCAGTAAGATAGGGTGGGAGCCCAAGATGTGAGGGTTCAGGGCAGATGGAGACACCTAAAGGGGTGCGGATATCTTGCAGGCATCCTTTTCACTCCCAGGACCTGGGAGGACAGGGCCAACCTCAAGGGGGCTACCGGGGAACAGAAGGTTCCCCTTGGAGGGGGTAGGTCATGCAGGGTCTCCTTCCTGCTTGGGTGGAGGAGGAATGGGGCTGAGTGGCCTTGCTGTGCTGACTTCTCTCTCCTCCACAGGAAAGAATCTCTATACAAATGAATACGTAGCTATCAAATTGGTGAGTCCAGGTTCTTCACACACAGCAGAAACTATCCCCATGTGGGGCCTGGGGCAGGAGGAGGGGCAGTGCTACACCCCAGGTAACCCTCCACCCCCCCCATCCCTCCAGGAGCCCATCAAGTCGAGGGCACCGCAGCTGCACCTGGAATACCGCTTCTACAAGCAGCTCAGCTCCACAGGTACCGCCACGCAGGGGGCAGTGCAGGGCGGGCGTGGGGACAGTGGGGGCCTGCTGCAGGCCCCCTAGGCATCTGTGCATGCTCCACCCGCAGAGGGTGTCCCTCAGGTCTACTACTTTGGCCCGTGCGGGAAGTACAACGCCATGGTGCTGGAGCTGCTCGGGCCCAGCCTGGAGGACCTATTCGATCTGTGTGACCGCACATTCACGCTCAAGACTGTGCTCATGATCGCCATCCAGCTGGTGCGGGCTATGGGACCCCTGGCTGCAGGGTGGGATGTGGCAGGGAGAGGAGTGGGGCGGAGCCTGGGGAAGGGAGCTGCGGGAGGGACCCGGCAGGACCTAGGCAGATGGAGACACCTGCCCACTGCCCCTAGATCACGCGCATGGAGTATGTGCACACCAAGAGCCTCATCTACCGCGATGTGAAGCCCGAGAACTTCCTGGTGGGGCGGCCGGGCAGCAAGCGGCAGCATGCCATCCACATCATCGACTTTGGCCTGGCCAAGGAGTACATCGACCCGGAGACCAAGAAGCACATCCCCTACCGCGAGCACAAGAGCCTGACGGGCACAGCGCGCTACATGAGCATCAATACACACCTGGGCAAGGGTAAGGGGCACAGGGGCGGGGATTGGGGAGGTGGGGGGAATGCACTGACCTGCTGTTCCCCTGCTGACCTGCTGTTTCCCCTCAGAGCAGAGCCGCCGTGACGATCTGGAGGCGCTAGGCCACATGTTCATGTACTTCCTGCGTGGCAGTCTGCCCTGGCAGGGGCTCAAGGTGAGCCAGGGCATGTGGGGGTGTGGGGTGGGTCATGGCTCCCAGTGATGTTGCTGACCACTCTGCCTGCAGGCGGACACGCTCAAGGAGCGCTACCAGAAGATCGGGGACACCAAGCGGGCCACGCCCATTGAGGTGCTCTGCGAGAGCCACCCAGGTAAGGGCTTTCCCCAGCCAGTGCTGTGTTCTCTGCCCTCGCTGTCCCTGTTGCCGCGGCCGTCCTCCCCCACCCCCCACGTATCCCCGCCCCCTTGCCCACATCCACCCCCAGCCCTGCTGGGCTCTTCTCAGAGGAGATGGCCACATACCTGCGCTATGTGCGGCGCCTGGACTTCTTCGAGAAGCCTGACTACGACTACTTGCGCAAGCTCTTCACAGACCTCTTCGACCGCAGCGGCTTTGTGTTTGACTACGAGTACGACTGGCGGGGAAGCCCCTGGTATGTGGGACGGGGCCCTGGAATTGTGAAAGATTTGGACTTGAGGGCTTTACCTTGGATGTGGGGGCCCAGGGCATTGAGGGGGTCCCAGGGCATTGGGGATGTCGGACCCCAGATGTGGGGGGTGAGACCCTGAATGTGGAGGGTGGGACCCTAGACCTGGGGGTTGTGCCTTGAGCTGGAGGAGGACCCAAGTACCTGGAGCCTTGGTGCAGATTCAGGTAGGACCCTGGTTCATAGGGGTGGAGTGGTGCCCAGCCTCAGCACCCTGTCCTGCCCTCCTTGCAGCCTACGCCCATTGGCACAGTTCACACCGACCTGCCTGGGCATACTCAGCCTAGGGATAAAGCCCAGCTATACAGCAAAAACCAGGTGAGGTGCCAGGCCAAGGACCCCAACAACCCTGGGAGGGCGGGGGGTGGAGATCACAGCCCACGTGACTTCTCTGCTACCCACTCACCCAGGCACTGAATTCCACCAATGGGGAGCTGAATGCTGACGATCCCACTGCCGGTCACTCTAACGCCCCCATCACAGCGCCTGCAGAGGTAGAGGTGGCAGATGACACCAAGTAAGACCCTGGGCAGCGTCTGGGGGCTGAGATGCCTTGGGTCCAGCTGATACCTCCTTTCTACTCTGCACCCAACTTGTCCCTCCCAACCTGTGTCCACTTCCCACTCTCACCCTCCCCAGGTGCTGCTGTTTCTTCAAGAGGAGAAAGAGGAAATCACTGCAGAGGCACAAGTGACCCTGGCGGTGGTTCCCACACCCTCCGCTGCAGCTCCTGGAGGAGCTCGTCTGGATGGCCCACAGCCAAGACATAGACTGTGGCCCGGAGCTGCTCACCCCTCGTGGGTTACTTCCTTCACATAAGACTTTGGCCGAAATTTCTACACCTGTGTCTAGTCCTCCCTTCCAAGAGCATTAACTATTTAAAACAAGGAAAAGAAAACACAACGGCCGTCTGCCCTGCGCCCCTTCGCCATGTCTGCTGAAGTGAGTAGTGTGACCTGGAGGCCCCGGCCACCGCGCCGTCCAGCTTGCCTGCCCCATTAGTGTCATAAAGTCTAGCTCGTCTCCCTCTATCCAAAGGCCATTTTCTCGAGGGGGCGCTGTGGGGCATTGCTGCCAGGGGTGAGCCCGCTCTGGGCCTCCCCAAACCAAAGGGGAAGGCGCGGTGGGAGCGGCACCCCAACCAAAATGCTGCACCAAAGCTTGGACGGTGTGGCCCACAGGTGTTCTGCTGCACCTGCTCCTGGAGCCTGGGGCGGCCACCGGTGTGGCCACTTAGGCCAGGGCTGTGCCCGGTGTGAGGGCCTCTTGTGTCTGTGCCCAGTGTCACTGAGCCGCAGGAAACAAGCGCCTTAGAGCCCCGTCTCAGCCCACAGGTGCGGCCGAGGCCAGGCAGTCAGTCGGGCGGGCGGAGCCGCTGGGGCATTGGCGGAGGTGTGTGCATCTAGGTGTTGCTTTACAAAGTGTACAGAAATGGCACTTCTGTTTCTCTGATGCTTCCTGGAAGCCATAGAACTTAGGGGCTTTTTTAAAAAAATAAAGGAAAATGAAACCAGTTCTGAGTATAGTGTCCGGTCTTTTCTGAGAGGGCGTTGCTGAGACGAGCAGCAGTTCAAATGCCCGCATCCCTGGGAAGGGACAGCCTAGGAGGTGGTGTCTAAAGAGGATTTGGGTAGCCAGGGAAGAATGGATGGTCAGGAACAAAGGAACAACTAAAGTGAGTGTAAGAGCTGGATTTGGTTGTATTCTTGGTGGGTAGGCAAAAACCCCCACTGTTACTGAATGACAAGAAAGGGAGAGATCACAAGTGTAGAACAGCAGGTGACCTCGCCAATTATGCACACATAGAATAAAACATTAAGTGGCTTGCTTTCCAGAAGAAACAAGGTACTTGTTATATCAGGATGGTAAGTTGTTTTTTTAATTTATTGATTTCAGAGAGGAAGGGAGAGGGAGGGAGAGAGAGAGAGAAACATCAGTGATGAGAGGGAATCATTGATTGGTTGCCTCCTGCACACCCTCCACTGGGGATGAACCTGCAACCCATGCATGTGCCCTGACGGGGAATCAAACTGTGACCTCCTGGTTGGTTCATAGTTCGAGGCCCAACCACTGAGCCACGCTGGTCAGGCAGAATGATGTCTTGAGTGCACCCAAGCACTGAGCGAGCGGAAAGAGGCTGTGAGTGCCGACAGGACAACTGGGTGGCTGTGGACTGAATGTGTCTTCCCACATTCATGGGTTGACACCCACTGCCCCAGAGGATAGTGTTATGAGGTGGGGTCTTTGGGAGGTGATCAGGGTTAGATGAGGTTCAAGGGTGGGACCTCCACGGCAGGATTGGTATCCTTGTCAGGAGAGGAACAGGCCAGGGCTCGCTCTCCACCATGTGAGGATGCAGCAGGAAGGCAGCCAGGAGGAGGGGTACCCTCACCAGGAACAGCCCTGCTGGCACCTTGACCTCAGGCTTGCAGCCTCTTCCACTGTGAGAAACGTCTGTGGATTGAGCTGCTCAGGGCCACCCTAGCAGACTCAGATAGTAGCCAACAAAGCAATGATAAAAGTCAACATCCTTGAAAAAGTTTAATGGGATTTCCAGGTCTTGAAGACAATGGCAGACTCTTAACTGACTGGCCCAGCATTTTCTCCTCAGATAACACAGAACCACCAGAAGATAGACCAAGTGTGCTCAACACCCTGTTCCCACTTCTCCTGTGGGATCTTGGCCTCCTGCTCACTCCTGCCCCTCTACAGGTCTCGTGGGGCATGCAGGCAGGAGGGCTGGTCAGAGGCAAAGGAATTAGGGAATCCAGAATGTGGTCCTCCCACCTGCAGATGGGAAACCCACCTCCCAAGGTGGAAACCGCAAAGCCCAGGAGAACAGCCAGACTCGCCCCCAATAGCACTTGACGGTGTGAAAGCATCTTGGATTAGAAATTCATAAACTAATGGCAGAAATGGGCAAGAAAAAACTGGAAACAGCGGCTTGAACTCAGGAAATCTGAGAAATTATTTAAGAAACAAAGAATAAAATGCAAGGTGCCAAGACTCAGAAAGGTTTGAGGAAGGGCTTTGGAAGCAGAAGAACAAGAGCATGAAGAGAGGACCACGAAGGGTGAGGCATCGGAGGTGGCGGTGACGGCAAACAGAAGGCAGGATATGTCATTCCAGTCTCTGAAGAAAATCAGAACTGGTGTTGGAAACATTCCATCTACCAGTGGGTAGAGAAGAGGCCTGAGTCTCCAAGGTGAAGGTACACCTGGGGACATTAGAAAACCATCATGTACATGACAGAGCCTAGTAAAATGATTCTGTTTTAAAGATGATAATCCTCAGGATCTACAGGTAAGAAGACAAAACAATTTACCAAATCAAGAGAATTTGTCGTCAGGCTTTTCAAAACACATGAAGCAAGGTGACTGGATTTTAAAGACATTCCTGATGAGAGCTGAGTTGTCAGCATTGTTCCCTTCAAAGTAAGGTATCCTTTTGTCTGGCTGCTTTTAAGAATTTGTTCTTTATATTTGTTATTTGATGATGGTGTGTGGTTTTCTTTGTATACATCCTGCTGTACATTGCTGAGCTGCTTAGATCTTTGAGTTATATCTTTCATCAATTTTGGAAACTTTCCTGCTTTTATGTCTTCCATTTTTTTTGTTAGTTTTTTTGGGTTTGTTTGTTTTTTCGGCCCATTTTCTCTTTCCCCCCCAGTGCTTCAGATACCTATACGTAGGACTATTATACATGATCCCACAGGTTTCTGATACTCTGTTCTGTTTTTTTATTTTTTGGATTATTTTACTATCTTTGGATATACTGAGAGTAACTAACTGAACAATGGATTGATTTATGATTTTTCAACTTTATGATGGTGCAAAAGTGATACTCATTCAGTACTTTGAATTTTTATCTTTTTCTGGGCTAGCAGTGTGCGGTATGAGCCTCTCCTGTGATTCTGGGTAGGGTGGCAAGTGCAGGTTATACATGTTGTGAGCATGTTCATGGTGGGCCAGGTTAGCTGTGATGTTTGGAATGCATTTCGACTTAAAATATTTTCAACTTATGATGGGTTTATTGGGATGTAATCCCATCATAATAAGTCAAAGAGCATCTGTTATTTCTCTTTTGTGTGTTTTATCTGCTCTTCATCTATCCAGTAAATTCTTTGTAGATATTTTTAGTACTAGTTTCCATTTCTCCCTTTGTAGTTTCTACTTCTTGGTTGAAATCCATCTTTTCACCTTCCTGCCCCATTTTCTTCTAACGGACTTATAGCAGTAACTTTATTGTCCTTGCCATTTAATTTTAACAGCCAGGTCTTCTGTATGTCCATTTCTGTTGGCACTTTCCCCCTCTTGTTTATGGGTAATGTGTCCTTTGTGTGTGTGGTGAGACCACTTAGTGGCTGTCAGAACACAGCACAGTATTGTTAACGTTGGTCACCACACTGTACATTAGATCCCCATGACTTACTCTTATAACTGGAAGTGTGCCCTTTGACCAACATCTTCCTGGTCCCTGACCCTCAGGGACCACCATTCTACTCTCTGGTTTTATGACTTCAGCTTTGTTTTTTTAAATTTATTTTTTAAATATTTTTTATTTTTTATTTTAGAGAGGAAGGTTGAGGGATGGAGAGATAGAAACATCAATTAGCTGCCTCCTGCACACCCCCTACTAGGGATCGAGCCTGCAACCCTGGGCATGTGCCCTGACCAGGAATCAAATCGGTGACCTCCTGGTGCATGGGTCCACGCTCAACCACTGAGCAACACTAGCAGCACTCAACTTTTAGATTCCACCTATAAGTGAGGTCATTTGTCTTGCTGTGTCTGACTTACCTCACTTAGCATAATGTCTTTCAGATTCATCCAGGTTGTTGCAAATGGCAGGATTTCTTTTTTAAAAGCTGAATCCTATTCTTTTTACATACATACATACGTAGTGAATTATATTTACTACATATGTATGTATGTAAAACATATACTGCGTTTTCTTTATTCCTCCGTCTATAACACTTAGGTTGTCTCCATATTCTGGTTATCCTATATAATAAAAGCCTAATATGCTAAGTGTCCAGTCATCCGTTCAACCAATCAAAGCATAATATGCTAATAATATGCTAAGGCTGCTTAACCGCTCGCTATGACATGCACCGACCACCAGGGGGCAGACGCTCCAACTGGTATTTTAGCTTGCTGCTGGGGTCAGGCCAATCAGGACTAAGCAAGATGGGCTGGACATGCCCTGGAGCCCTCCCATGGTCCCACCTGGCTGGCCAATCTCCTGTGTCCCTCCCCAGCCCCAATCGTGCACCAGTGGGGTCCTTTGGCCTGGCCTGTGCTCTCTTGCAATCCGGGACCCCTTGGGGGATGTCAGAAAGCTGGTTTCAGCCTAATCCCGCAGGCCAGGCTGAGGGACCCCACTGATGCACGAATTCGTGTACTGGGTCTCTAGTTGTTAATCTCCAGTGAATGTGGGAGTGCAGGTATTCGAGATCCTGATTTCATTTCCTCAGGATATGCACCCAGAAATAGAATTGCTGGGTCATATGATGGTTCTATTTTACTTACTTTAAAAAAAATTTTTTTATTTCAGAGAGGAAGGGAGAGGGAGAGAGAGATAGAAACATCAATCCCATTGGCTGCCTCCTGCATGCCTCACATTGGGGATCGAGCCCGCAACCCAGGCATGTGCCCTTGGCCGGAATCTAACCTGGGACCCTTCAGTTGTAGGCCGATGTCCTATCCACTGAGGCAAACGGGGTAGGGCTTTTTTTTAAGAATAGTTTATTGCCCTAGCTGGTTTGGCTCAGTGAATACAGTGTTGGCTTGTGGACTGAAGGGTCCCAGGTTCAAACTGCTCAAAGGCACATGCCTGGGTTGTGGGCTCAATCCCCAGTTGGGGCTGTGCAGGAGGCAGCCTGTCAATGATTCTCTCTCATCATTGATGTTTCTCTCTCTCTCTCTCCCTCTCCCTTCCTCTCTGAGATCAATAAAGAAAATATTTTTAAAAATAGTTTATTGATTTTTAGAGAGTGGGGAAAGGAGAGGGAGAGAGAAACATCAACGTGAGAGTGCAACATCTATCAGCTGCCTTCTGCACACCTCCTACCAGGGATGGAGCCCACAAGCCTGGCATGTGCCCTTGACCGAATCCAACCAGCAACCTCCTGGTGCACAGGAGGACACCCAACCAACTGATTTCTGTAGTGAATGTGTTCTTTTTGTTTATTTTACTGTAATTATTATTTTTAATCCTCACCCGAAGATATGTGGGTATTGTTTTTTTTTAATTTTAGAGAGAGAGGAAGGGAGAGAGAGAGAGACATCAAACTCGCCTCCCAGGCATTTGCCCTGACCAGGAATCAAACCGTGACCTCCTGATTCATAGGTCAGTGCTCAATCACTGAGCCACATCGGCTGGGACACATAATTTTTATGTATATACAGTAGGTCCTCGGGTTTAGTCGGAGATCTGTTCCTACAGCGCGACATAACGCGATTTTTGCCGTAAGTTGGAACCCACCTACATAAGCACCTACGTCATTCACAT